CGTGGTGGGCAGAGCACAGATAGCCCATTGTTTAGCTTTGTGCTTAATTACAAAGAACAAGAACAATAATCTAAATATTTAGTTCTAAAAGAACCATATTGACATATTCCAACAAATTTGAATTCCGAATTTTTTGAAAAGACAATCTATACCGTGTCTGTTTCTAAAATGTTTCATTTTGTTTTCCTATGGACGGCTTTGTGGGGGTGGACCGAAATAACCAAAGTTGTTTTTGTTCGCCAAAAACACGCAAAAAAAAAGGGAAACAGAAAATAACACACATACACAGAAAGAAAAAATGTGGATGAGTGGCTACTTTAGTTTTCGTGTTTTTTGAAATACTTGTGAATAGTTAAACAGTTAACTATAGTTGTGTAGAAGTTCATTTTCAGCAAGCTTCTGAAATACCTGAAAAAATGCACAAAGTAGTCTCCTCCCACTCAGTACCAGATCCACCCTAGTTTTGTAACATGCTTCTATACCATTTCGTACCGTACAGCGTTAAATTTTACGATATCGAACTATAATGCAATTATAGAAGTAATGACCTCACAAAATGAAGCACGTGATTCATACCCAGAGCTAAAGAATGGCCGTGAACAACCGAATGTAGCAAATAGTGAAGAAAACGTAAGTGCGGGCATAAAACAATGGAGTTTAAGTACAACTCAACAATAAGCCATACAACGTCCTTTAATATACAAAGCTTCTTGCTACAGGATGCACAGTTTACAAATACTGTCTGTATTCTCGTAAAACTTTTGCTACAATTTTATTTATGCATGCATACACATTCTTTGAAGATTTGTATGATACGAGCATCATTAAAAATTTAACATTCTATATTTGTGGAAACTGATTTATGTCGTTTAACCAACTAGCCAAAATTAGTTAGTAGAGTTAATAGTTAACTATTTGCTCCATTTCTATATGTGTTTATCTTTATTTTCAGTTTAAGAAGGTTTTTTATTATAATGTTATGGACATCATGTGTGTACGACCTTTATTCAAAAGTTAAATAATTTGTCTGTAAACTATTTTTTCTTCATTATTGAAAGTTAAAACGTTAAAGTTAAAAAGGCTTAACTGTTTTTTGCTGTATTTTACAGTTTTTATTATATCATGTGATACTGATTACATATACGCTTTCTTTCGATACAGGTCTGCACGATACAAATAAAGGTAGATATGTTTCTTTTTTTATCAGTAGTTTAAAATAAATATGAATGTTTTTTAATTTAAATACATCTAGAAACATAAGTAGTTATAAATAGATCAAAATATGGCATGTTGTGAAAGGCAAACTACACATACAAAAAAACAACAAAAAAAACGAAATTATAACTTCGAGAAAAGAAAATGATTGACTTCACAACTTGACAACCATAGAACTCACGAATCTTTACTTCGTCTTTACCATGTTAAAGGTTACGTTGTTTTTTTCTAATTTTACACTAAAATATAACGTATCCAGTAAAGTCTCAAATTAATGATGTAATTTTTTTCTAGTAAACAGCCACCTAGTGATGTATATAATATATTTTTACACAGTGATAAGTGTCCTTGTGAACTATATTTAATCGCTTACCATTCCTAATAGCATTTTCAAATAATACTGTTCTTTTAAATAGATTCTTTAGTAGAATTAAGTTGTCGATTCGTGAGATGTGTTATTGCCAATATCACAGAATCCGACATTTGATTTGATTTGTTTGAAGTTAAGCACAAAGCTACACAATGGGCTATCTGTGCCACTAGCTCGTCTTTTGGTGTTTTATTTTAAGATTGTACTTATTTATTAACTTGGTAAAACATAAACGGTCAAGCTATAAAGAAGCATATACGTACATTATGCTATCTATAATCAGGTTAAAACTAGTTACGACTTCTTAATACAGTTCTTGATTTTAAGAAGGTGAAGCTACGATATTTATTAGTGATATTAGTAAATAATTACTTTGTTATAATAACAAATTTAGTGTAAAAAATTGAAAATTCACCGTATTATTGTACTTATAAATTTTGAACAATGAAAAAAGTCTACAATTAAAGTATCCCTGGTGGTTTAGCAGTAAACATTAAAATTCGATGTTCGGTTCCATTCAGTCTGAGTCAGATTGCGAGTCAAGCGCCATAACCATCTGGCCGTGTTTTCGGTTATTAAGATACTCATACGCTTGGCTTCGTCGAGTGTCACCATGTAATGCCATTTTTCTTTGGCTACGTACCATTCATACAGTATTCTCAAGTTGGCCTTCCATTCCTGAACATGTCCAATTTGTGTACATGTAATTTGAATTGTTTTACCAGACATATAATTTTTAATTATATTGCGTACTGTTACCTGGGATACGAGGACGGTTTTGCCACTGACCTTTGCTTTTGTTAGAAGATGCCGCATTTTGCTTACCACGACTTGTTGCAGGTCTCTTTCTTGGTGGTTCTAGAACCCCAAGTTGATCTTTTTTTTCTGCTACTTTTAAGTGCAAGGGATATCTCCATTTTCAAAACTCTAAATCGTTGCTCTGAACTCGTATTTATAATCTGAGTGGATGAATATTTTGCGTCGGAAAAAAAAGCGATCAGTTCTCGGTGGCATTACACTACTTACAAAATGACAATAACAGAAAAGATCCAAATGTAGTTCTTATACGTTGTGTTTCACCGCAACTTTATATCAGCTGAGGGTATGACATAACTTGCTGATTTCCATATTGAATGTAGTTTTAATATAATTTACACAACCTCTGTATAAAGTTTTTGATTTCATAATTTTCCCAAAAGGGGGCCGAAGTTGGATTGGAGGGTCACTTTTTTAACCACTCCTACCACTGTATAGTAATGTGTTGTCCGTCAGTCAGTCAGTAGACACTAAAAGGAGTCACATAATGTTGCAATTTGTATTGTTGTGACGTCAGTAAAATGTGCGCATGCCATGAATCACAAGAAGAATAATGCACTCTGTAGGCTACAATACAGCATGACATATTAACTTCAAAAGTAAGAAATAAAAATTTTGGTTTTATTTACTCTTGTTGTAATTTTTTGTTTGTAGTTAATTACAAAGCTACACAAAGAGCTATCTGCGCTATGCCCACCACGGGTATCGAAACCCGGTTTCTAGCGTTGTAAGTCCGCAGACATACCTCTGTGCCACTGTGGGGCATTTACTTTTGAAACAGAACACTTTCGGGGTCCCTGCGGAAGTATATCTAATTTATACCATTCAGCATATATATATAGTCGATTTGTTATACAGGATTGTCTTTATTAATTTATAAATAATTTTATAAATGATTTTGCTTGTAATCTATATAGTTAGCTTACATTTGGTCAATAGTTTTTTATCACTACGATTCTGTGATTACAGAATAAACATGAATACTTGTAAATATTACATGTATGTGTTACATTAAATTAAACTTAAGTGTTTAAAAACATTAGTACTTCCGCCACCGAAGGTGGATGAGGTAATGTTTTCGCATCTATATGTATATGCGTGTTTGTCGGAAAGATTTCTCGAAAACGGATGAATTTATTGGACGAAAGTTGGTATACATTTGGAATATGAACCAAAATAGAAGTGATTAGTTTTTGGAAGGTCAAGGTCACAGCAAGGTCGTAAAAATCCAAAAAAAAAATCTCTATCTGTTAACACGAGGACCAATTTTTCACATTATTTTTGCTCTATAACTCAATCAAAAAATGACTGGATTTTAATGAAACTTGATGGACACATATGTAATATTATTCTCATTGTCCTTCCAAAAATGGTACGTGTTTGTTGAAAACGACGGATATACGGACAGATTTTCGTATTTTTCATGAGGACCGAATATGATCAACCCTGCGTGGCGGCAGTATGCGCTATGCTGATTGCTCCTGTAGCTTCATCTGCTTTAAATATCACTTTGACATTATGGCATTTTAAGTCACGTTTACTCAAAGATATGTATGTTTTAGTTTTATGCCTTTTTAGTAACATGTGTTCGGAAAAACAACGTAATTACTCATTTGATTGTTTTAAACATTGAAAGATTTGGTGTCTTACGTCCCTTGGTGGATCGGCGATAAGTTAATGAACTTACAACGCGAAAAATCCGGGACAAGGTTTACCGCGCTGGACGGAGCACAAATAGCCTATGATGTAACTTCGCGCTAAAAACAACAACAACTGAGGCCTTAGTTTATGCATTAAGTATATCTAATCAGTTTCTTGTACAGGATTGTCTTCATTAATATATCAGTCATTTTATAAATGACTTGTGGTCTTTTCAGTGAAAAACTATATTCAACTTGTTTAGAATTGTTCTCGGTTTCCTGTAAGTTAATTAAGCTTATTTGGAATAACAATTTTATGTTTTATGTTTGGTGCATTCAGATCATTAAATTCTCAGATACTGTGTTCGGTGTTAGGAACATACTGTTAAATAAAAAGGATTGTGTTAAAAGTTAACTTAAGCAAAATTGGAGCATTTTTCATAAGTTGATGCCCCCAAATCCTTCTATACCTCTAAAATTGATAAGTACTTTTTTAAATTTAAAACATCCTTACAATATAGAATTAACCCATCAAGATCTTAAAGATAATTTCAGTTTGGAAGATGTGATAGTTTGGCTGTATTTAGTTATTAATTTTGATTCCCGAATGAATTTTATCTTGCAATTGTTTTATACGTGAAGCGACCCAGTACTGGCGAGATCTTTATTTTTATGCGTTCAAAAAGCTGCCGTATAACTGAAGGAAGAAGCCTTTCAAAAACTACTAAATAAACGTAAACTATTCTTCTTCTTCAGAAGCCATGAAAACTAAAATAAAGATATGCATAGAAAACGAAATGTAAATCTCTGAAAAGAAACGGAGAAATAAAAATTGAGAAACGCATATACCACTCTTTGTTCGTCTTTCATCTGTGAAAGCGTTTTCGTTTTTTTTTTCATTCGCTAAGAATAAGTTCCTAACGGATGCATTTAACGTTTTTAACTTCTTGAAAGATATTGAAGTATAATCCTGAAGAAAGGTAATGCAGGAAAGTTATTATTATTATTTTTGAAACAAATTACTTTCATGATTGTATAAGTATGAAGCTTATTTTGAAGCGAATATTTGATGAGACTGAACTTAAAGTGATGTTTTTTGCTACGTTTATACGTTTATTTATAGGTTCTATAGTTTTTTTTAGTTTGAAGGAAGCTTTGATGTTGTTAGAAAAGTTGAGATTCATAACAATTAAAAAAAGCGATACTTACTAACAGGAATAAACATATTTTATTGGTGTTAATTACAAATGTAATCATGTTGCTTTTTTGGTTAAAATTACTAAGCGGTTGAAAAACAGTTATTCGTGTATTATTTCACATTAGTGAAATACGCAGCTTTTAACATCTACCATTGATTACAACTGCTTAGGAATGACAGGTTAATTTTAAAATTTATGATATTTAGAAAATGAGGAAACAAAGTACTATAAAAACCTATATGATTTGGATATCTTTCGGAAATGTTATTTTTCGAAGTAACTTCTGTGATACTGACATGTTTATAAGTAGCATCAAACAGGATGGTTAAATTTCAAAGATATTTGACGTAATATTAAGTTGCTTCTGGGTTTATTTTACTATTATGAAAATATGTCCTGATGTAATCTTGGTCGTCTAAGTAAAACCCGACCAAAATAACTCCCCATTCTATGTTTCAACTAAAAACTAATTTAAACGTCTGAAAAAAAAAGGTATTTGCCAACGTTGTTGATCATAACAGTTTGTCACAAACTAAAAGTTTAAATAAGTCGCAGAAGAAAAAGAAAATCAGCAACTGATCGACCTTTTTTCTTATTATTATTCAGGTGATCCTGGTCTTTGCTTCACGAATGTTTTCCCCATTATCTTTGCATGGCTAACCAGCCTACGACATCTTGCTGCTGTTTGAATAAGTACCATAAAATCAGACCAGTTAGGGTGAGTTACAGATATATTTCGATAACTGCTTTGATTCAATATTCGTAGCTTTCAGAAACACAAATTTATTGAAGATTAAAGAGTTTTTCAACAGTTATAAATAGATATTCTTATCGGAGTTCGTCTTCTGGGTTGACATTTAGTGGAATTCAAGCAGTTATTACTTTGATATTAATACAGTTGGTTAAGCATAAACATCTGTTAGTTTTTTAAAGCGATGTTTTTTTGTATTTATTGTAATCACGGTGAGCAGCTATACGATTTATGAAACTTTACAGGAGAAATGATATGTGTAACTCTGAATCTATCACTGGTCGCAATACTTAGCGAAGCATGATTACTTACAGGTTAACATATGAGATAGAATTTTGCGAGAAGCTTAATGTTAGGCTCGAAACTAAGTTGACCACATTTTGATGTTTTTTTATATATGGTATAACAAATATTTTGCAATTGAAATGCATATCACACTCTTTTCTTTTTGGACACTTGTGTTGGGCTAGTAAAGGATGTGGTGATTAAAAGCGTTTTAAGTTTTATTATGACGGAATTTTATGTTTACTTCAAACTAACGAACCATGCTTTACCAACATCCATTCTAAGCCATTATATCTTTTTAAACGATTGACATAAACATGTTTCATCTAAAACGTTGGTTGTTACTACGTAATGTCAGCCTTATGAAACCAGATATTGAGCGAAAGTTATTTTGGTAGCACTGTACAAGTAAAATATGTTCTGCATATAAACTTTATCTTCATGGTTGTTTAAGGCTAATGCTGTTTTGCCTGGCGCCCAAGTATCTTTCTTCTATTATTTTACACAAGGTACACTTGAAATGCTATTATATGTTCTTCCTAGGCTAAATCTGTATTGGACCATCAAATAATAACAATCATAATTATTACCAGACCTGCTGTGATGTTGTATCACACAGTTTTTTTACTGTGAAATTAGAATTTGTTCACGTGTGACATTACTGTATATATATATATATTATTATTATTAAAAGAAGTGTGAAACAGTTTCACTACCTTTAGTACAGAACATAAGATTCATGAAAGTAACAAAATATGGTATGTGATGTTTATCAACAACACAAGATGTAACAGTAGTACACAACCTATCCAAAGAATGGCTAGGAGATACGTAAAATATGTTTAACAGATCAGATTAACTTGATCTTCAAAGCAGGCCCAGCGTTATTGGATAGGCAAATTAGACAATTGGCAACCACTTAGGACGATAGAATAAAACGATACTTGAGAACTCGGAATTTTGGTGAACCAGACATTATTTACGTATATTTGAAGTGCTGATTCTAAATCCAAATGATGCCACTATATAATGAGCATTTTTAGGTATATGTATCTTTAAACTTCCCCTTCTTTAAAATATCCCATTTGGCTATGATAAAGAAATACAAGTGTGAAGGCAACATTATAAAAGTCAAAATTATGCTTCAATGTGCATTGGTTTGTAACTGTTTGGTAAAAAAACAGCAGCTTAAGACATTAAAATTACATTTTATAACTATGTTACGAGACTTTTTTCATCTCTTCCACCCTCCACCTCCAACTGCTAAGTATATACGACACATAAGCAACCCGACTTAATGTCTTCCCTAATACAACCCAAACATTTAATACTTTTGGTTGAATAGTGTCCTTTTAATTATACATGACACTGGTTGACATCCTACTCCTTATTATCTTTATATTCATCTGATGATAGTGCTTCTCGCTTATGTTCACTACAACAGATTTCCATGGCTTTCTTTTGCTACTGAACAGATATCTCTATTGATAGCACATGGCTAATCTGAATGACAACGCCACTTAGCCATTTTCAGGATTTTAAGTGGAACATGTGACACATTAGATGGAGGTCCGATTTTATATTATTGTGATGAATCCAATCAAACAGTGTTGGATCGAGTGACGGAGGATCATGAATGGATGTTCAATACCATTAAGTGACCTAAAAGTGACCTAGATTAGGTTTACCAGGAAATGCCTCGACTGTGGGTGGAAGGGAAATTAACTTTGGTGCCCTTTCACGCATTTTTGCTGTTTCTAAGACCAAAGTTTTATTCTGGTTGTGATTGAGTATTTCCATGGATATTTTTACACTCTTTTTGATATAAACGATGCCACATCTGAAGAAGTTCTAATGAGCAGCAGCCGTAAGATATGGAAACATAAGGCCAGTAAGTTAAGGGGCATTTAACAATATTCAGGTTCTTCCCTGGTCATTTTATTAGCAAATTAGCTGTAATGTATCCCCGTCCCGCCAAACATGATCGCCCTTTCAGCCGTGGGGGCGTTATAATGTGACGGTCAATCCCACTATTCGTTAGTAAAAGAGTAGCCCAAGAGTTGGCGGTGGGTGGTGATGACTAGCTGCCTTCCCTCTAGTCTTACACTGATAAATTAGTGACGGCTAGCGCAGATAGCCCTCGTGTAGCTTTGCGCGAAATTCAAAACAAACAAGTTGTAATGTTCTGATCTTGTTGAATTTATACTTATAACAGAAAAAAATTTCTGACGTAAATGTTTAAAATATCTGCCAAGTCCACCCTCCGCATATATCATAAATGAATACTTCCTTAGAGGCATAAGTGTTGAGAACATCTTAGATGATAAGAAACAGCTGTACTCGTGTTCCAGTGTTGTTGTTTTTTATGAAGTACAACTAACAAGTAGTCGTGCTTCATCTGTGTTTCTTTGATATAGTCGAATATGGTAGTTTTGGGGAGGGGAAATTTAAAGCTTTATATCTCAAATCACACAAAGTGACTCAGTTGAGTTTGAAATTAGCACATTAAATAGATATAAAACGTACAATATAATGCTTGGGACATCAAAATTATAGGTTGCTTATAAAAATGAAAAATTTCTATAGATTAAAGGGCGGTAAAACAGAAGGGCTTCACGATAGTTTGCCATGTTCGCTGTTTATTTATAATATCACCTCTCTTGTTAAGTTTCCCTTAGTTTGGTGTGACTAATGTAGCAATCAATGGGAGAAATGTGGTGAAGCGTTCAGCTTTCCCTCCTCTACACCAGTGAGGTGAAACATAGTGTTTAACGTGCCAGGGTGCGAATCAAGAGGCCCAAAATTTGAGTTCGCGATATGATGCTGAACATGCTCAGTACTTTAAGCTTTGGACGCGTTATATAAGTGACGGTTAATCAAGTTGTTTGGCTCATATAACAAGACAAAACTCTCGTAGTGGTGAATGTTGTTGGGTGGATGTTTTCTTTCTGGTCATTATTTCAAAATTAAGATAAATGTGTTTGAACCTTGGAATCACTGACCAAGTCGCATAATATGCCATTAAGGTAGAAAATTTCAAATGCTCTTCCTATACAGTACAGCCTTAGTAGTTAGCGTGTCAGGCTATGAATTCGAGAGTCCATGTTCTCTGCCAGTTACCACCAGAATGCATTTTATTCTTTGGGGGTTATGGATGCGTTATAAGAGTAACAGGCAAATTCCACTCTTTGATTAGAGTAGCCAAAGAGTTGGCAGTGGGCGCTGTTGACTAGCAAACTTCCCCTTAGTCTGTCATTTAAAAACTAGAGAAAGTTAGTGTTGATAGCTCCTATGTAGCTTTGCGCTAATTTCGAAATAAACCATGTAGTATAAATTATTCAGTTCTTTAAAAACGCGCGCAGAATAAAACATTCTCAAAATGTGTAACTAGAAATTTCTAAAAAAAAAAAAGTCTTAAACTATATCTCTAAGGCGCGAACTCAATATGTTACAATTTTTTTTCCTAAGTTAGCGCATAGAATAGAAACATTGTTTTTATTTGTAATTAAGCACAAAGCTACACAATGAGCTATCTGTTCTCTGCCCACCATGGGTATCGAAACCCGAATTCTAGCGGTGTACGTCCTCACACATACCGCTGTGCCACTGGGGGCACAAAAACATTAATATAAAATTATTTGTAACTTTGTAAAAACTTGTAAAAGTACAAGATAACTATAAAAATAACAAAACAGTTCAGTGATTAAACTGCGAACATAAGAATAAAGTCATGGATAATAGAAATCGCTGTCTTTATGGAAAACAAATAAAAAAAAAGACCCAGGTTTGGAAACTAAGAAACCGATCTTCTCAATTTTCTGTAACGTGACTTGTTAAAAGACAGTGAAGAAACTACCATTAGAACGAGTCTAAAAACAACTGATAAACCTAATGGTTTGTTTGAAGCTAAGCACAAAGCTACACCAAGGGCTATCTGTGCTCTGCCCACCACGGGTATCGAAACCCAGTTTCTAGCGTTGTAAGTCCGCAGACATACCGCTGTGCCACTGGGGGGGGGGGCTAAAACTAATGGAAATATTTTTCTAGAACTTTATGCTATGCTATCTCAGAAACTGAAGAAACCATAGTTTGCCATGAAAAATAAACAAAAAGCAAACAATATATATATATATATATATTTGATTTGAGTGGCTCACTAAGTAGCTAAAAATCGACTCAAAGGTATGGCAGTTATGGGTCGCACTGAGTCTCGTACATATCAGACCCGGCATGGCCAGATGGTTAGGTCGTTCGACTCGCAATCTGAGGGTCGCGGGTTTGAATCCATTCACACCAAACATGCTCGCCCTTCAGTCGTGGGGGCGTTATAATGTGACGGTCAATCCCACTATTCGTTGGTAAAAGAGTAGCCCAAGAGTTGGCGGTGGGTGGTGATGACTAGCTGTCTTCCCTCTAGTCTTTCACTGCTACCTTAAGGACGGCTGGCGCAGATAGCCCTCGTGTAGCTTAGCGCGAAATTCAAAACAAACCAAATCGTACGTATAAAAGCATTTGATTTTCCCAATGATGACAAGGAAATTCACAACAAATTGTTACACACACGACTTTGAAAAAATAGGTTGTTGTTGTTTGTTATAAAGCCCAAAGCTACACAAAGGGTTATCTGTGCTCTGCCCATCACGGGTATCGAAACCCGGTTTCTAGCAGTTTACGTCCGCTAC